TGTCTCAGTCCTTTACCCACAAAAGCGGCTATAACTTTTTTTTTTCTATTCAAAACAGTAAGTGTGGCACCTTTCTGAAATCTTTATTAAATAAGCAATTTTTTTATGTAATGTAAAGTTATAGCTCAGTACATTTTTTTTTCACCCGAGATAGTCAAAGTTGGGGAAGAAAATATCAAAAAGGTAAAAATCCAGAAATAGTCCTAATTTTATGATGGTTCCTTAATATATTTTAACTACATTGCATTTGAGTATGGAGTGGCAACTATCTGGAAGTATTTTACATAAAAAATTTACTAAGTATTGCCCGGTTTGTAGTTGCAGTTAAAGAAAACACATGAAAAGGCACGATTTTTTTTTAATTCGAAAAAATGTAGATATTTCAAAAACAGTGACACTTTTACCTCAAAATTTTTTGTTTATCAAGGAGCTCACCCCCCCACCTACCTTCCCCTAAAGTTTGGCACGTTACTTCTGGGACACCCTGTATATACGAGATTTTGAAGTTTTTATCCAGACGTCCAATCGACATGTTTGAGGTAACGTTGGAAAGGTCTTGCAGCGTGTGTCCAGAAAATATATTACAGCTTCATCAACGAAGAATAGTGTTATTCTATAGGTCGGTACCTTTCCAACGATACCTTATATATTGAGTTCCGGCTTCTAGTAGAATATAGAAGAATATAGAGCAAAATTGGTTTTGGTTCGTGTCTCCACTAGAAGAATCTTTGCGATGTGTGTAGCGTCTGTACGTACCTTCATTTCACTTTTTCAAACTTTCAGGAATTAAAGTACAAAAAAAAATAGGAAGGTTTTGTTCCAGGATATTTCGATTCGTATGCCTTTGTGGGCATGGCTGGTGCCTGAAATTCGAAAAAAGGCAATTCTTTAAACTATCTCTGAGGCCGCACTACTCATTCCATACTATTGATGTGGATATCAGTAGAAGGGCCTTAAAACAAGCTATCTAACGCTGTCTTTTGCGTTTATGAAATATAAATATGTCACAACGTTATCGCCTGAAAACTAAAAAACAGAAAATCCGTATCATGTCAAAATTTTGAGATATTTAGGGGGGGAAGTTTTAGAGTTCTGAAAGTGAATTTTTCGTCGTTTGAAACACTGTGCTCAGGTTTTGAATTTTTTTCTGGACAAAGGTTTTGATAACTGATCTTACTTAACTGGGATCTTTTAAATTCACTGCTTTTATTCATCATCAGTGGCCTAGCAAGGATTTGGCGAAAAACTTAAAGTTGTGATACACAATGGCTAGAGGCGTCGCACTATAGGCAAAACACGAGTTTTTTTTTCAAAATCGTAGATCTTCGCTTAGAAAAGAAATAGTGGAATGAAAATTTTTTTATCGTGAAGATAAATGATCATATAATATAGGAAAACTATAGAGAAGTTACAACACCAATAACTTAACCCTCAAAACACCGTTCAAAATGTCGCTTTTTTTAATTTTAGATTTTGGCTCCCATTCCACTAGAAAACACTATATTTAACACACCATTAGCACTGTTTCTGAAAGATTTCTCTTTATTTTATCTTAAGACTCGATTCTTGGGACATTGGATGCTGTACCCGAGTGGCCAGATTGGAAAAGAAAAGCTACCTTTAAATTCTAATAACTCGTAAACTATCAGCTTTCACAAAAAAGTTTATATAACAAAAATGATAATACTGGCCGATATCTTTTCGAAAGTGCAGCATTTAACCCTTTAATGCAGAGTCTGTCATATATGAAACGCCTTTTAACCCTTTCAAGGCAGAGGCAAAATGGTTCTCAATATGTTTTCAACGTACTTTTTGCGTACGAAATGAGAAAAAGTACGTTCAAAAGCATATTGAGAACCTTTTTCCTCTGCCTTGAAAGGGTTAAAAAGCGTTTCATATATGACAGACTCTGCATTAAAGGGTTAAATGCTGCATTCCATTATCTCTGTTTTAAGCGAAGATCTACGATTTTGAAAAAAAAACTTGGGTTTTGCCTATAGTGTGTCGCCTGTGGGCATTCTTTTATATATGTATGTATGTGCCATTTCTACCGTTATATATTTTTTGTCTACTCGGTTATTCCATGGGGAATTCATGCTTTAAAAAAATTAAATCACTACACCATTTTAATTAATTAGTGTGTAGTCCAGTTTTGTTTTGTAGAAGTTTCGTTAGTATACACTTCAGTTTTTACACATTGAATATATCTGCATCAATTATATAAATAGGCAATCATGTTTCCTTTACACCTCTTTTACGGCTAAACTGTACTTCTAAGGTATAAATAATTATATATCATTAGAAAAGTATTTTGATGCTGATGTGCAGGCAATTTTTAAAATTTCAAATTAGTTTAAAATAGAGCGAAAAAATCAATTCAAAAGTCACACCAATACCAATGCCATACATGTACATGGTTGGGGCGGAAATGCTTCCTAAATGTATGCTTTAATATTGATAGTGAATTAAAGAAACGTGGTAAGCAGCAGTTTAGGAATAAGATGTATGTATGTATGTACATGAATAGATTAGCCTCAAACAAGGATGAAGATAATTTTGAGTATGGAGAAGAAGAAAGGGATAAATACAGAAATTAAAATAAAAGTAAAGAAACCTAAATATAAAGACAAAGAGGAAGGAAAATTTAAATACCTAACCTAATAACAATGGTGGGGGTGAATATGTAAATGAAGAAAAGAAAGGACATATTTAGATCAGGATAAATGAAAGGATAAAGATGAAGAAGAAGATGAAGACCAAGACGAGGAAGATGAATGTGAAGATAAGGATAAAGATAACTTATCTTAACTTAACCCCTTAACTTAACTTAACTCACCTCAACTCAACTCATCTCACCTCCGCTTAAAAACTTACTCCACCTGAGTTCGCTACACATTAATTCACCACACCTTAACTCCCCACACCTAAATCCACCACTACTTCACTCCCCACACCTAAATTCACCACACCTTAATTCACCACACCTAAATCCACCACACTTTAATTCACCACACCTTAACTCACCACACCCCAACTTTCTCACCACATCTTAACTCACCACACCTTAATCTGCCACACCTTAATTCACCACACCTCAACTTTCTCACCACACCTTAATTCACCACACCTCAACTCACCACAACTAAATTCACCACACCTCTTAAGACCACCACACCTGAATTCATAACACCGTAAGTCCCACGCCCAATTCCACCACACTTCAACTCACCACACCCAATTTCAACACATGACATGATATCACTAAAGAAACAATGTAAAGAAAAAGAGGAAGGAAAATTTAACTACCTAACCTAATAACAATGGAGGGGGTAAATACGTAAATGGAGAAAAGAATGAAGATATAGATCAGGATAAAGGAAAAGATAAATATGAAGACGAAGGTGAATATGAAGATGAAGATGAAGATGAAGATGAAGATGAAGATGAAGATGAAGATGAAGATGAAGATGAAGATGAAGATGAA